TAATGTTTGGCATACTGTGAGCCAAGTATCAGACAAAACTCTATTAATCACCTGACCTCCATAAAACCCTACTTTAAGTGGAAGATCAAAATGCTTATCAGGATCTCTTGGAATTAGTATCAGTTCAGAACCAGTATTCAAAGATCTTTGAAAGTCTAATTGTTTCCTTCCCCCACAGTGTATAGTTACCATTGTGAAAGACCATAGGTCCTTCTGGGGAAGGACTGGAGAAAGACTAACATTAAAATTTTTCAGTAGTTTTATCAAGGTCTTTCCTTAGGGAAACCTGGCCACCCCTTCATTCAAAGGGTTCTGGGTCTGCAAACTAGCTCAAGTCTGGAAATGGATTCCTGGGCCAAGATTCCCTTTTGCTACAATCCAATGCAACCTTTCTCTCATTTGTTTGAGAATGTTTCTGCTTATACAGATCAAACAAAAATTCAGTAGGTTTCTTATCTGTTTCAGGCCTTGAAACACCATGATTGATTAGTCAGTACCAAAGGTCCATACAAGTCTTGCCACCATAAAATTTACTTTGCCTATGCTGACCATTATGCTTAGGCCATTATGAACATTGCTTTGTCTATGATACCAATTAAAATAACTACAATCATCTTGCTTTTGGCAACTCAATGCTTCTGCCTGGCCCCTGCTACCTGGGGGCCCAAATAAATCCATTGCATTTAATTCATTCAGCTGTGCAGCATCACCAACCCTAAGATCTGGCACATGGAAAAGCATGACAACAAAACTCTTCAAATGTGCTGATGCCCCTTTCATCATTTTCATCTTATAGAATTAGTGAAGGGCATGTTTTCTGGACTTTCCCATTGTGGAGGGCTAAGTTTTTACATAATATACCCACTCTAGTACTGAAATTTCCATGGGACTTAAAATCTCTTCTACAGACTCTAATAGATCACAGACATCAGTCCAGACTACTATTCCCAGCAAAACTTCCAATCACAATAGATAGAGAAAATAAAACATTCTATGGTTAAATCAAATTTGCAGTATCTATTTATAAACATGACCCTATCGAAGGCATTAGAAGGAAAACTCCTACCAAAAGAGGTAAAACCACACACAAGAAAACAAAGGAAATAAGTAACCTGAGACCATCAAATCAGAAGAAAGAAATACACACATACACAACAACAGCAAAACAACAGGAATCAACAAACACTGCTCATTAGATAGCTCTCAGTATCAATGGTCTGAATTCCCCAATAAAAAAATTCAGACTAAAACAATGGATGTGAAAACAAAACCCATCCTTCTACTACTTCCAAGAAACACACCTTCACATACAGGTTAGAGATTGCCTCTGGGTAAAAGAATGGAAAAAAATTACTCTAAACTAATCGATCTAAATAGAAAGTTAGTGTAGCCATTTTTATATCTGACAAAATAGACTTCAAATCCAATAGCCTATAATACTGGGGGTGGGGGTGCTTTTAAGACAAGAATTAAAAAAGACATAATTCATCCTTGGTGTTGGGAGTGTTATTTGGAAAGATAAAACGTCTATTTCAGAAATTGCATTCTTTATTATACAATAACTCCACTTAAATTCCATTTGTATATGTACAAATTTAAGATGCTTCCATAGTTGGTTTCTGTGAGAATTTTTAAAATGCCTTCAGTAATATTTATCCCTCCACATATTCACCCCAATACCCTGTCTTCCCATCATTCTCCTCAATTCTTCCTTTCTATCTGAATTCCTCTTTATCCTTTTTTAGCAATGTGTTCTATTCCCCCTTCCTTAGAAGATCCCCTCCTTATCCTCCTTGAGCCTTTATTAACTACCTAACTTATGTGGATAGTCCAAATTAAAAAAAAAAAAAAAAACGCTGCTAAAGTTTAAAAGATACCATACACAAAGCAGAAAAAAAATGCAATGTTTGTTTTGTTGGATATTGTTGGTGGTTCTTGCTCTTTTTGGGGACCTGCAACCCAGTTCCCAAATAAATCACACATGGAGGCTTATTCTTAATTATAAATGTCAAGCCTTAGCTTGACTTATTTCTAGCCAGCTTTTCTTAACTTATCCTGTCTACCTTTTGCCTCTAGGCTTTTACCTTTTCCTACTTCTGTATACCTTAAATTTTCTCTTACTCCATGGATGACTGTGCAGCTGGGTGGCTGGCCCCTAGCATCCTCTTCCCCTTGTTCTCTTGCTCTTTCTTTTTTTCCCAGTTTTCTCCTTCTATATATTCTCTCTACCTGCCAGCCCCATCTATTTCTCTCTCCTGCCTTGCTATTGGCCATTCAGCTCTTTACTAGACCATCAGATGGTGTAGACTGGCAAAGTAACACAGCTTCACAGAGTTAAACAAATGCGACATAAACAAAAGTAACACACCTTAAAATAATATTCTAAGTCATTTTTGTCTTTTGTCTAAATAAAAAGAAAGTTCTTAACTTTAACATAGTAAAACTATACACAACAAAAAACAATTATCAAGTAAGAATTATATTTACAATATTCTATCCATTGATAGTTAGCATATTCAGAGAAAATAATGCATTATCCATCCTATCTTAGTGAATCCAAAGTTTTAGACGTAACTTACTTCCTATCATAACCAAAGAAAATTTCAACTATAACTATCTAGTTTTCAATGCCATCAAAGTCCCAGAGGGATGTAATATTATCTAACAACAGAGACATTTGGCTGCCTGGACAATCATTCAAAGTTCCTCTGCAATGTTGGGACATCCATCTTCATCCTACAGGCCTAGAATATTTGACAAACTTTTCAGTGAAGCAGGAAATTTGAAGGACTATCCTGCCTTGTATTGGCAAAATTCATCAGTCATTTTCCTCTGTGTCCTACAGAATATCTGGCAGACTCTTCTGTGAAGCAGGAATTTTGAAGGACTGTCCTGCCTTGTTTCAGGAAAGTTCAACAGTCTTTTTCCTGTGTGTCCTGCATGTCCAGTCTGCATAGCACATTGTCATCAGTCCCTTTGCCCAGTGGCTAACATTGCCACAATGAAAGCAAGCTCAATAAAGAGTTTCTTCAATGCCCATCATCTCTGAAGTAAATTGGTGCTGCCAGGACCAGACGTGTCTCATTGTTATGAAAAACTTTAAATTAACAAAACATTTTAAGTGCCATATACCATAGGTCTTGTAAGTGTTTGAAAATCATCTATCTAAAATAAATCTATTTAACCTAGAAAACATATCTAACATATCTACAAATTTGATTGTTATAAATGACTAACTACTGACCTATACTTCTTGATTGTCCTAAATAGTTCATAATAATAGCTTTTGAAAACTAGAACTTAACATTTTTAAATGAACTGCATAGGTACAATACCTTAAACAAGAGTAGAAATATATATACAGTATAACAAAAATAACTTTAAATTTGTATCAATATATCAAATTCCATGCCAATACAAAATATCTGAGATTAATAGTTTTTTTATCCTATATTCCCCTAAATGATAACACACATCCATAACCCACCAAATAACCAACAGCCTCCCACAAGCTTTACTCTTGAGACTGTGGACACTGTGTTCTCTAAACTGCTTCCTGCTGTCTGTGGGTGAAGATATCTTTAAGGTCCCAGAAAGAAAGTTTAAGATAATAGCTAATTCCTGTGAAGACTAGCTATAACCTCTGTTGATAGATATTACCTGTCAAGATATCACTCAATAAGGAATCCACAGCCTTTCTTCTCCTGTGGGGACAAAACTCTAAAGCATTTTTGATTTCCATTTGACAAATGCATTTTTTTACTTCTTTTTTAAAGTTAAGGCATTCCTTGAGCTTCTAGGTTGGGTCAATTTAGCAGTCCAGTTCACAATCCCATGTCTCCTAGCAGCTGTCTTTTGCTTCTCAACAATTAAAAAAAAAAATTCAAAATCAACACAATAACATACAGGATCCAGACTCCCTGTGTATTTCCCATCTCTGCATGGCTTAGTCTTTTTTATTATTTTACTTCTCTCTTTAAAGACTTTATTTTTTATTTTTTTATTTGTTTCTTGAGACAGGGTTTCTCTATGTAACCACCGTGGCTGTCCTGGAATTCACTTTGTAGACCAGCCTGGCCTCAAACACACAGAAATCTGCCTGCCTCTGCCTCCCAAGAGCTGAGATTACAGACGTTGACCACCACTGCCCAGATCCATCTCACTTTTGTCTGGTCCTTGCTGCAAATCCTCCCCAGAGTTGGCAGAAGGTGTCTGACAGTCCTCAGCAGTTCTTTCCACAGCCCGGAGCTGCGCTCTGGAGCAGATTGCTGTACATAGTGGCTTCCCTTTTTGTCTCCCCTGCCCATGTTTAAGGTTTAATTTTTTCCCACACTTTTATTAGAAGAAAAATTTTAAAGTGGATCAATCCTTACAGCCAAGTCTTTGTTTTTGTTTGGTTTTCATGGTTTTTTTTTTTTTTAATGCCATACAAGAAGCAGGACTAAGCATTTACCTAAAACACGACAGCCACATCTGTCACGATGAAGGGTGCAGACAGCAGGCCTGATTACTACCTACCTCACCTAAGGGTTTTTAGTTGGACTCTGTCACCATAGTTCCTGTTTGGTCAAATGTAAACAACTACTTGATATGATTCATAATTTTTAAAAAAAAAATTTACAAAGATCCTTTATTTTGTCATTAAAATAATAGATCTGAGAGAGATTTGTAAAAACAACTAGCCTGGGCTAATATTCCCCATGAGCGTTGGGGATGCTAACTAGGCCATAACTCCAGCTCCATTTCTCAAGGTAGGTTATAGCCCCCAACCCTAGCTGCTCAGCATCCCCCAGAATACACTGCTGGCCTGGGGGAGGGTCCCTGGAGTTAGCCTCACTGGGCCCTCGCCTTAGGAATATAGAGATTGCTTTGTGGGTGGGTGGCAGCGGTCTCATGTGACTTGAAGGAAGTAATTGGGTTTGTTAAAAATAAATAAAGATGGGCCCGAGCCAGGTCAGTGAAGAGCCTGTACTTGCAGACCCTGGGCTCGGTCCCGGGCAGCGGAGGGTCGGCTCAACCAGAGGTGGGCTCGAGTCCCGCACCTCCTGCCCAGCCACCCCATGCCCGACGGGCGTGAGAGCGGGACCTGGCCGAAGGTGTGCGGGGGTGGAAGGAAGTGGCCTGCATGCTCTGCGGGGCCCCCAGCCCATCGCCTGGAGGAGCCCACTCTCCCTGGAAGATAGACCATCCTTGAAGAGGATGACTGAGACATTATGGGCCACGCACTGTGTGTCTGTTCCCGGGGAACTGTCATCATTGACAATAAGCGTTACCTCTTCATCCATAAACTGGGAGAGGGTGGGTTCAGCTATGTGGACCTAGTGGAGGGGTTGCATGATGGACACTTCTACGCCCTGAAGCGAATCGTGTGTCATGAGCAGCGGGACCAGGAAGAGGCCCAGCGAGAGGCGGACATGCACCGCCTCTTCCAGCATCCCAACACCCTTCGCCTCATGGCTTACTGTCTGAAAGAACGAGGTGCTAAACATGAAGCCTGGCTGCTACTACCCTTTTTCAAGAGAAGTACACTGTGGAATGAGAGAAAGGCTGAAGGACCAAGGCAACTTCCTGACTGAAGACCAAATCCTTCCATTGTTGCTGGGTATCTGCAGAGGCCTTGAGGCTATTCATGCCAAAGGTTATGCGCACAGGGACCTGAAGTCCACCAATATTTTGCTTGGTGATGAGGGGCAGCCAGTTTTAATGGACTTGGGTTCTATGAATCAAGCATGTATCCAGGTGGAGGGCTCCCGCCAGGCCCTAGCTCTACAGGACTGGGCGGCCCAGCGGTGCAGCATCTCCTACCAGGCACCTGAGCTTTTCTCTGTACAGAGCCACTGTGTCATCAATGAGCGGACTGATGTCTGGTCCCTAGGCTGTGTGCTTTATGCCATGATGTTTGGGGAAGGCCCTTATGATATGGTGTTCCAGAAGGGTGACAGTGTGGCCCTTGCTATGCAGAATGAACTCAGCACCCCACAGAGCCCCAAGCATTCTTCAGCCTTGCGACAGCTTCTGGCCTCTATGATGACTGTGGACCCCCAGCAGCGCCCTCACATTCCTGTCCTCCTGAGTCAGTTGGAGGCATTGCAGCCACCGACTTCAGGCCAGCCAGCACACCACACCACCCAGATCTGATCAAAGCAATGGGCATGTTGGGAAGATGACCTTGAAGCAGCTTTCACTGGAACTCCTTCCGTTCTACCCAGAATGGCGCTAACATAAAGTGAAAACAGACTAAAAATAAATAATAAATAAATAAATAAATAAATAAATAAATAAATAAATAAATAAATAAAGACTTTAATTTTTAGCCATTCATTTTTTTTCTACAACTATAACATTTTTCTTTACTTCAGCCTATGCACATTGTTAAACATATTGTAACCTGTTTAGAGATTTTTCTTTCCATCTGGATCTCTTTTACTGCATATCTCTAGTCTTATTTGATTATGTGGGCAAACTGTAAACAGTTATGCTATAGCTGGGTCCTCTGAGCACGGCTCTATTGGTTGGCTTTGCTTCTGAGTTCATGTAAGCCAAGCCTAAAACTCACAGCCAGGTTGGAGATGTTTGATCAAAACCTACATTCAACCTTCCTAGAGCTCTAGAATGCCAAGGCTTGCACTGTGGTAGACATTTTTACTTAGTTTTTCTTTGTTATTCCTAATTAATGTGCTAGCTACTCAAGGGCTCATTGTCTGGCAGAAACTGTCTGGTAGAAACTCTTAAAGGAGCCATATCTTTTTTTTTTTCTCTTTAGTTTTCTCAGGCCCTACATGGAAATACGGGCTCCATGTTGGTACGCCAATATGTTATTGGTTTTTCTCTTACTCCAGCCCCATGTTGGGCACCAAAATGTTGTTAGCTGGTTTTTGCTCTTTTTACTCTTTGCTCTTTTGGCTCTTTTGTCTTTTGGGGGGGCCCACCACCCAGCTCCCAAATTAATGCGCACACAGAGTCTTATTACTTAGAAATGCCTGGCCTTAGCTTGGCTTATTTCTTGCCAACATTTCATAACTTTAAATTATCCTGTCTATCTTTTGCCTCTGGGCTTTTATCTTTTTCTATTCCTATATACTTTTATTTACTTCTTACTCCATGGTTGGCTGGGAGGCGGGGTGGCTGAACCCTGGACTCATCCTCTCCTTGTTACTTTATTTTTTCTCCTCCCAGATTTCTCCTTCTATATATTCTCTCTGCCTGCGAGCCCCCCCTCCATCCTGTCTCTTGCCTTATTATTGACTCTTCCGTTCTTTATTAGACCATAAGGTGTTTTAGACAGGCAAGGTAAAACAGTTTCACTGAGTTAAACAAATGAAGCATAAACAAAAGTAACACACCTTAAAATAATATTCTACCACAGGGCTTAGTACAGATACAGAAATAAGAAGGAAGGGTCAAGGAAAAACATTAAAATGTACCAAGCTTCCAGATATAATAAAAATTTATTTAGCAAATAATTAAAATAACTTTGGAAGTTCATTTTATTCCAGTTGCAATGGCAAGATTAATACAAAAGCAGACATGATATGCTGGCTAGGATGTACCTCCTGGGGAACAGTTATTAATTGCTGGTCAGGGTTCAAACTAGGAAGCCACTCTGCAAATCAGTGTAGATATTCCTCAAACACAGGAAAATAGATTTATCCTAAGATTTATCTGTATGTATCTTAAGTACATACCTTAAAGAGTCTACACCTGACTATAGAAATAATTATCCATCTTTGTTTCTAGCTGATCAATAGGTAATAGCCAGAAATGGAAAGCAGTACAGATGAACACCGGTTGATAAAAAGATAATAAAAATATGGTAATTTTATACAATGGACTATCACTCAGCTATTAAGAAAAATGGACTTGGAAGGTGTATTTATGGAGCTAAAAACAATCATAACGAGGAAGGTGAGTCAGACCAATAAAGACAAGCATTTCATGTTTCTCTTAAGTACGGCTGTTACGATTTATAGTTTAGACATGTGTGTTTCAGTTATAATACACTCAGAAGTTATGTGACTAGTAAGGGACCGGGGGCAATATATATCAGCAAGGATATATAGAATATAGAGTTATAAATGAATAAAAGGGAAATTAGAACAGAATGATAATGGGGATGAGTAATGGGAGTACATGGAAAAGCTAGGAATAAAGAGAGGGCTAACTAACAACAAGGCCATTAGAAATGCCACATGAAAACCTACTACTGCAGAAGCATTCTAAAATATATGCATAATAAAAGAATAATTGAAAGGTAACCACGATTATAATGGGGGAGCCTATGCCACAACTACATACCTTACGTCACCAAACAAAACCTCCATTTCCCAGAAAGGACTATGTCTTTTTGACTTGCCGTCCAAGTGGTCGCATGGACACCCGATCACTACAGGATATTGTCAATGCTATTACTTACCCAAACAACTAAAGGTAAGACACCATTGATGATGATAACACATGCTTATGGCACACAACATGGAGAAATCTAGATGAGAATAAACTGGAAACTTCACACATACTAAAAGATTTCATATATATGCCATTTAAGGTGTCATATATGATTCAAGAGCAGAGAAGTAATCATCAATCTAATCCAGCTATAACATAGCTATACCAAACTGTAGGAATGATCTGCTTACAAGATATGCACACCAGTGCATTAGTGGAAATGTACAAATATTAATGAGAATATTCTGGAATTCACCAATCCCCTTTTGATTAGATTTGTGTCACTCTCCATGATATGGAGCCCATACTTGATATCGTTTATGTTGGCAGTAGGTGAGTCATGTGGTATAGATAGAAACCTATAACCACCTTTCCACTTGATTGCTATTATAATAAAATGACTCCTAATGACATATTGCTATACCTGTAGACCAGAGTGTCACACAACTCTCATCAAAGAAGCTTCTTCAGGCAGTGGATAGTAAATATCACAAAGAGGAAAATTGAACAATATGCAGAAAGTGAAAGACTTTGGAGTGTTCAGCCCTAAAGGGGATGTCTTTATCAAAACCCTCCCCTCAAGGCTCAGAGATTATTGTAGGAAAGGGAATGGAAAGATTCTGAAAGCAAGAGACAACGGATGATGAAGAAAACAGCATTTTCCAGACCCAGTAGGACAGATACACATATTAACTCCAAAAAAAGGTGAGAATAAGTCCTGTACAAGCTTAATCCATATAGAATCCCAACAAGAATGAGAACTGGGCATGAAGTACCACCCCTAGGAAACATATTCAAAATATAATTGTATGGAGAAAAATACCCTCACCTTCCCACAAAAAAAAAATAAAGATGTTTAAAGAGCCTAGTCCTAGCTAGAATGAATTCTCAAGTGATAATTGCCAGGAAAGGAAAAATTGATTTTCTTCAGTGGAGTGAAACTAGATATATCAAACTCACTCATTCATTCTGGGCAGACACAATAATCACATGTAATTAAGAAACACTAATTGGACTCCAGGTATTTTGGTGTCTTCTTCTTTTTGGAGGGTGGTGTTACTTTTTGTTTTGCTTTTGTTTTGTTTTAAGACAGAAAAAGAAAATGAAGTTGAGTGATATGCCAGGTGGCAATGGATCCAGGAAGAGTTGTAGGATGGAAAAGAATGTAATAAAATAAAAAGAATAAAAAGGGTGGAAGGGTGAATGAGGCATGTGGGCAAGTCACCAAGGTCCCAGACGTTACCAATCTTAGATGATAAATAAACAGGTCCCTACCATTTTTTCTCACCAGTATGTAAGATGTAGTGAACAGTAAATCACAAAGAGAATTAAACTAGACAATATGTAGAAAGTGGGAGACTTTGGAGTGCTCAGCATTAAATGGAATTTCTTTATCAAACCCCTCCTCTGAAGGCTCAGAGATCACTGTAGAAACATGAATAAAAGAGGCTATGAGCCAGAGGTGATGAGTTTAAGGAAGCCGCATTTTCCTGATACAGTAGGACAGATATATATATATATATATATATATATATATATATATATATATATATATATATATATATGAGCTCACAGAAATGGTGAGAGAAGGGGCCAGCACAAGCTCAACCCAGACAGAATCCCAATAAGAAGAAGAAGAACCGGGCATAAAGTGGCACTCCTGATAAACATGATTAAAATATATTGTATTAAAAAAAATTCACACCCACTCCAAAGCCATATAGTTATTTGCAAGTGAAAATTGCTGGGAGACAAAAAAATTAATTTTCTTCAATAGAGTGAAATTAGGTAAGTCAACCACACTCAGATCACTCCATGGCAGACACAATGATCACATCTAGTATGGAAAGCAGAAAGCAGACTCCAGGTTTTTGGTGTCATTTTATTTGAGTTTCACTTTTATTGTTCTGCTTTCTTTTGTTTTAAAAGAGAAAAAAGAACATGAAGTTAGGTGGGTAGGAGGAAGGGATGAATCTGGGAGGAGAAAAAAATGGAATAAGTCCACAGGCTCTATCACATTGGGAGACTCATAGAGTGACGCTGACCGCAGTAGACTCTCCCAAGTAGCTGGAGCTGTACTGGGCAGTCCTGGTATTATATAACATGTGGTACTATGACAATGTCCACTTCCAAGTTTGAGCAGCCACCATGCTGGCAGATTTATTCACAAACAGGCCTTTAGAAACGAAGCATCTACTTACTCTCTCTTGGTTTTGGAAACATTTGTGTCCTCCAGAACATTCCCAGCATGTAAAATCCTTAATGCTTCATAGTTAAAAAAGTTTGCACCCTACATTAAAAAAAAAAGAAAATCATAATAAAAAAGATGGAAGCATCAGTGAAGCACACTGGTAGGTCACCAAGTCCCCAAATATTAGCAATCTTCATCAGCAATTAAACATGGCTCTCAGATTGATGTTTCTTTTTTTATCAATTATCAGCTAGTTCACTGCTAAAGAAATTCACCCTACACTGTTCCTCACCCCTCCTAAATTCATTCCATGCATTAGTTTAGTAACCATTGTGTGAAATAGACGATGACTCTACATGTTCAGGTGTTTGTTCTCTGTCTCTATGATACTCATTGACCACAGGAAGATATAACTAATGGCAGAACTTTGTTCCCTTAAGAGTATTTTTAAAAGGGGTGGAATTATTTTCTAGAATGTGAAGTGCTTTGAGCATTCCTTATT